AAGAGTCAGGAGCTATGCTCTGTGTGTCGTCGAGTGAATTGCGAGTTGTAGCGAGGAGAGTCTCGAGAGTACGCGGAGTTCTGAGAACGACCAAGCAGAGTCAGGAGCTGTACTCTAGTGCTTTGCCGTGAAGCTGTCTCCACCATGATAGCCTGATAACATGGAGGCTGTGTTGCTGTTCGTGTCAGCGTTTTTATAGTAGTTCATCGACGAATGTAAAAACGTGTTTTGGAGCTGTCCTGACAATACTGGCCAATAAAGTGATACTTCATCAAGTAGTATTGTCGTTATTCATTCCAAATCCACACGAACATGAAGTAAGGATATAACGTAATAACTGGAGTCGAAGGATATAACGTAATAACTGGAGTCGGAAGAAAAACGCAACAATTGGTGTCAGGAGTTGGATTTGCGAGTGAATGCCAGTCACCTGCCTGCAGAGGAAACAAAGACTTTGATGGACGTCTTAGCCGAGATTAAACCCGGACAGGAAGAGATAAAAGCCAGATATTAAAAGATGAGAGCTGAAATGAAAGCTGGATATCAAGAGATGAGAGATGAAATGAAAGCCGGACATCAAGAGATGAAGGCTGAGTTGAAAGCTGGCCTGGAAGAGATCAAAGCTGGACTGAAGGAGATGAAAGCCATACTGGGAGAGAAGAATGCCGGATGAGAAGAAATAAATGCTGGCCAAGAAAAGGTGTGAAAGCAACTCCCAAGATGAAAGTGGAGCTTACAGAAGAAACTAGAGCCATAAAAGATGATGTGGAAATGACTGAAGTGGCGTCTGAAGTATCAAAGGATGAAGAAATGAAGGAAGTAGCTAATGAACTGTCTGAGAAAGATCAAGAAATGAAGGATGAAACATTTAATGGGATTAAAGGAAAAGAAAGAAAATATGAAGAAATAAAAGACGAGAAAGAAGTTTTTGATTCTCAAGTGCCTGAAGTGGAAGAAAGTGAAAATGCGACTGTTAAATTTGTCAAAACTGATAGTGAAGTTATGAAAACGCAGTCAGCAAGTGTTGAACCATCTGAAAGTGCATGTGATGCAGAGATGGAAGGAGTTGATGTGCAGCTTATGCAGTATGCTCCAGTATTGCAAGAAATTCACATACTTTGCAAACTAGGTGTGTGCCTCATACTACAAGTTTTGCAGACAAGGACTTGATTCTAAACCAGAATATTTGTGTTTGTGAAAAATTGGGTTCCGTTCATGACTATGATGCAGAATTTGGAACTGACTTTCAGGAAATAGAAGTATATAAGCATGAACCATTTGCTAAAAGTATCAAGGTTAACTGTACACATGATGCAAACAAACTTCAGAGTGGTGAACAAAATATACCAGATCTTCTTGTGGATGAAAAGCCTGAAAGGACTGAATCTACAGACTGTGATATGCAAAGCAGGAACACATCTGAGAACTGCAGTATTTGACCCAGGTATATCTTAATGAAAAGTCTGAGACTGAAATTCATTCTTAAACTTTTAATTTGTATAATTTAAAATTGATATGTATTTAATTTGTGTACATAACTTGTACATAGGTAAATATTTGTTTCCTTAGTTATGTTATCTGTATGTTTTAAAGCGATTTGATTGTATCGAATTTGGATTCTGACCAAGGGTTGTACTGCCCGGGACGTGCAGTCTTTGGGAGGGGGCAGTGTTACGAAATGTAGAGGCGCAGTGAGATGGCTTCCCCGCAAAGTAGTTTTAGGGTTGCCATAAAATGGCAAGGGAAGGCAGGATTCCCACATTTGGCAAGAAATTGCCCATTTGGCGATATATCATGGACAGATGGAGAACCTTCTGAAATGAATTCTTACCGGTTTAGGCCAGAATGTTTTCGAACACCAGCCGAAAGCTATATAAACCCTGCTGGTATGTGGAAAGTCAGTTAAACACCAGCCGAAAGCTATATAAACCCTGCTGGTATGTGGAAAGTCAGTTAGTATCGAGTTGGTGTCTCATCTAGTGAGTCAATCTCTGCAGAGTCGATCGAGTTGACAGCCGGGCAGCAAGTGTTGACTGCACCGAAAGAGTCTCGTAGTGTATCGCAGTTAGTGCATCGTTGAGAGAGCGTATTGAGCTCCAGGAATGACTGAACAGAAGAGTCGGGAGCTATGCTCTGTGTGTTGTTGAGTGCATCACAAGTTGTAGAGTGGAGAGTATTGAGAGTACATGGAGTTCCGAGAACGACCAAGCAGAGTAGGGAGCTGTACTCTAGTGCTTTGCTGTGAAGCTGTCTCCACTGTGATAGCCTGATAACCTGGAGGTTGTGTCGCTGATCATGTCAGCGTGTTTATAGTAGTCCATCAACAACTGTAAAAACGTGTTTTGGAGCTGTCCTGACAATACTGGCGAATAAAGTGATACTTCATCAAGTAGTATTGTCGTTATTCACTCTAAATCCACATGAACGTGAAGGAAGGAAATAACGTAATAACTGGTGTCAGAAGAAAAACGCAACAATATCTTTATTCAGTTATTATTAATTTCACTTTACATAGTGCAAAATTTAGTATTTATTACGCATGCTGTGCAAGTTGTATTACTGTAAACGATTTTATTCAATTTTATTATATACAGTGTGTTTTGTACATACTGTGGAATATACTGCCTAAATGTTCAAGGTTTCAATGTGGGCAGTATATTTTAAAGCCCAATATACCGACATTAATTTTCTTAATACTACAATGAGAAAGTGATTAGTAACTTTATGTACTGTGCTTTAACGTATGCCAATCAGGCTAAAATTTTCATTTCAAGAACTGAACACAGGCAGAAAAATTGAAGATGTTATTTTAATGCCAGTTTAAAAATCTAATAACTGTAAACCAAAATTTTACTGACAATCAAAGACTACATTACTTGCATGCATCTTTAAAAGTCGAGCACAGCAACTTAAAACTTCCAATGACATGTATCTTTTCAAGGCTCTTAAAGAATGATATAAAAACAAAAGACTAACAGTAGATACATACAACAAAAATATAATCAATTAAGAAAAGCTAATACAAGAACCATATTCTCTCTTTTTTCTAAATCATCATCAAGAATAATTCAATAATATTTATGCTTTAAATTTATTTACAAATCACATCTTATTATGTTTATCTGAAAAAGGTTTACTAAAATTGCTTCAAGATTTTCCAGATGTCATCTGTAATTGCATGTGGTTTAAATATAATGGAGATGGCAGACAATTTTAACGCTTGTGTCGTAATTACTTGGATGCAACTTTAAACGATATGATGGACCAGCCTGTTGGTCAAATTTATCAAACTTCAATTATTTCTTATCGGAACATCTGAGGGTCCTTTGTTGACTAGAATCCAAATGACTCTATAAAGGACTTCATTACTAGTATATTTTGTTACAGCTGCACGTTTAAGAATTATCAGGCATCTTTAAAACTATATGAACACCCTATGAATTTTGCCAAGCATACTACAGCTAGTGGAATTATGAGCAATTTCTATAATAAAATGTTTGTCACATGTTTTACCATCTCCTATATTTCATCCTAAAGTTTTTAATCGCAGTATACATATTGTAACGTATTCGCGTTGCTATGCTACCAACATCATTCCATTAAGAAATATAAATTACCGCAGATGATGTGCGCACTCTAAAATATTTTTCAGTTATTCTCTAAGTTTTCACTAATAAAGTTGGTTGTTCGTTCAAATATGGCGAGATTTCTTTAAAATTTCATTACAGACGTATACAAGAATAAATATCTGGTGGCAGCAATGGGATTTCTTTAAAATTTCATTACAATATATATAATCCTAAACTGGATATATGTTGATTTAGTATACTAAACTTTAAACATATGTATACTAAAATTTAAAGGCTTTCTCTCTCTCTCTATGTATATAACATATACAGTACAAAGTCCGTAATCAGACCTCAAAGCCACAAACTTATGTATGCGCTTTCAATGTGTGCGTCCACTACGCATGCACGTAAAGCATTTACCCATGCACACTTCCGATAGTGAAGAAAGTGACAGAGAGGTTATTGAAAACAAAAAATTTTGATTGACAAGTTAGTCGGTATTCTCGACACAGCAATTACAGGACTTGAACAGTGGAACTTTGTAACTGAACAAGAAGTTATGTCTGTTTATAGAATTAAAGAGAAAGTATTAGCACAAAAAACGAAGCAACTTAAGGAAGAACTAACTTACATTGAAGGAAATGTTTAATAAAGTAAAAAAATAAATATTAAGCTTTTTTTTTTTTTTTTTTTTTTGTAAATTTTGATACCTTTTAGATCATAATTGCTCTTTATTTCATAAATTGCAGTTTCATATTTTTAATTGTATAATTTCTGCATGCCATCTTACCAGATTTAAATTAATGATCTATAATCCGGAATCCCTGAAGTCTCGATTACGGACTTTGTACTATACTAGTATATATTGGCAACTTGACTATTGTATGCATTTAGTCCACAAGTCCTTACCGAGCTTTTATTTTTGCAAACATTGGGCATAGATATATACTTACAGTTACAATTTTTTTTAAATAACAAATACAACATTTTCCTAAATGTACATATCCTGACTACAGGAACATACAAAAAGTTATATTTCATAATATTTACAAAATTGATTTCTTTAATTTTAAAAACGCCCAAACGTACCTACAGCATTTAAAACATTTTTGTACCTGAAAATATATGTCTAAAAACCAATGATTACGAAAATAAAGATCGGATAACGAATTTTGTGGACATGGTGTACATTCATCTCATCATTCTATCTAAGCAGTTCTCACAACTTCTATGTAAGTCAAACACCGCTAAATTTTTAGATAACACTGTAGCTATATTTTTGGTATTTTTTACATAATTTCATATGAATTACATTTTTAGACCATAAAATTTATAAACAATCTACAATCAAAAAATTACAAACATAAAATTTTTTTGATAATAATAACTATTACATAGCACAATGTAAAATATTTTTATAATACAACTTGCCTTTTCTTGGTGCAACTGTTCATCCCACCATTGTTCAAAGCGTTTAAATGCAGTAACTTCAACCATTTTTTTACAAATGTCCTTTTTCATTACTTGTTTCATTTCTTTGATAACACAAGCAACAACACCATCAATAGTGGGTGCATGAGGATCTGGAGGTGGCTGAGTAAATGCATTTGGAGCAAATGGTGGCAATGCATTAGGTCCAAGTGGTGGTCGAGTTAAAATGGCTGGGTAACCAGGCGGAGGCCTTAAAATCATTTCAGCAATATTTGTAGGTGGAGTAAAAGGTACAGTTGAACTAGGAAATGTGCCTCCAGGTAATGGAGGTTGTGTTGGTGGAAAATAATTCTCTCTAGGATATGCAGTTTGACTGTAATTCTGAGACTGGTTCTCAAAACCTGTTGTTGGGGCAGGTGCTATGCCCGATCCCATGCCTGGACGCCAGATTCCCATTCGTGCCATCATCTGCACATGTTCACTTGGATACATGGGATGGCTAGGTGGTGCAGTTTGAGAATGAGATGGACTTCTGCTGAGGAAAGTCAGATTAGGAGGTGGAGGAGGAGGTACAGCAGTAGGTGCTACTGATGCAGGAGCAGTACCTGGTAAAGGAGGAGGAGGAGTTGGAAATACTCCTTGTGCTGGAAATGGGGGCCGTGTGGTTGTTGAATACAGCGATGTCCCAGTTGGAGGAGGACCGGGATATGGTGCAGCAGCTGTATTACCAAAACCAGAGAATGATGGTGGAGGTGGAGGCGGTGGTGGAGGAGGAGGTGGTGGTGGTGCTGTAGTAAATGAGGCAGTATCAGAAACAGGGAATACATTTGTACCAGCTGTTTGAGTTGAATATAATGTGCTAAAATTTGTAGAGCCAACAGAAGAATGTACATGATTTACAGGTTTTTGTGCTGGAGGTGCAAGAGCATTATCAACATTTGGAATATGCAGTTCTAGTTTGTTTTCACCATCACTTAAGGATGACAAAGACATTTTATCATCATAGTCAATAGGCAGTTCATCTCTGACTGGTGTTGAATCACCTTTATCCTGCATTATTGGTGAATCATCATCTTTTTCTAAAGCTACACTGGTGCCTTTCCAGTTTATACCAGATAATCTAACACCTTTTAATGGGATAGGATGTTCTAAATGAGCATCTTCAAGATTAGCTATATCTGATAGTGAAGTTAATTTTCCAGAGTCAATATCAGCAGTAATCACAGCCCACTTGTGATATTCTGAGAAAGTCAGAAATGGTGATGGTGGTGTTGATAACAGAACTAAGTCATCTTCCTCTTCAGGTGGAGGAGGAGGAGGTTCATCTGATTCGGGAAGTGGAGGAAGAGGAGAAGAATCTGGTGGGAGAGGTGGGGCCTCCAACCATGATGATGGTGGTCGCATGAGGCCTTTATCATCTGGAGAATCACCAATAAGCGACACATTTCCAATCTGTGCTGACACAGCACCAAGATCTAAAAAACTGTTCTTTCCATCAGCTGTCTGCTTTAACAGTAATTCAATTCTAGTATCTAAGCTTTCCCTAATAGGACTCTGTTTTGGCACAGTTACCGGAGTAGAAGGGGGAGTAACATGTCTTTTTGTACTACGATTATCCCAAGCAGGTGAACTGTTATCTTCCCATGGAGACGATTCTCCCCAGGTGCTAGAAGATCTCTTATCCCAAACATTATTCTTTGTATGGGAATTGGTTACCGGAGGTGTATGTTTATTCTGACATACAGACGTCTGAGCACCATACTTGTAACCAAAACCAGAATCAAAGCTCAGCTGACTGGGTGTTGAATGCGATGAATGATAACTGTCTGACTGTACACTCATACTTCTCTCTGACATTCTGCTGCTCAAAATGCTCTCAGTTCCATAACCGAAATCAGAATTTGAAGGAGTTGTAATGTCAGAATTAAGAGTTCGAGGAGGTTCCCGTTTTACTTTATTTAATAAACTTTGGTCTTTTTCACTTATTGCTTTTGGTACAGTTTTATCAAAACTTGGTAGCCGTCGCCGAGGGTCACAAATAACTAATGGTTCATCACCTAATGATGTTGTTCTTGTTCGTCCAGACACTATTTCTTCAAATGTATTCATACAATCCTTGCCTAAAATTAAAAACAAGAATAAGCTTTCAAGCATATACATGTAAATATAAAAAAACTTACAATATTATAAACATATGTAAATATAAAATTAATTTACAAAAACCACAGTTAATTGAACAAAATGTAAAGACATCAGAATGCATAGAATCACTCAGAATGTTTTTGTACACCTTTACAACAGTGCTATTTGTAGTTTGGGCTACTGTATGTGTTTGAGGCTTGTCTCATTCTATAAGTTTGAAAGCATCACAAGTGTGACCTAGTCTTCTTATGTCCATAATTCAAGCAAACGGATGTCAAGAGGTCAAGTCTGTTCCAGGCCAGTTCTCCTGGTGAACAAAACTTTCTGAGTGTTTTCCAGCCACATCAACCATAATACATTAAAGACACTGTTTTCAAATATATGACATTCTTTTTTAATGACTTCCAGAACCCTGTACATAAAAATACATTCCATATGAAATATATACATATAATGCAAATCAAGGAAATAATTTTTTTCTGAAGTAAATAGAACTAAAGTAAACAAATATCTATTCCTTATGGAAAGGAGGTGAAGGCCTTCATTTTACCTGAAAAATGGTCAAGGATAACAAAGAACAGAAGTAATAAAAATAATTTCTTTTATCTTTAATAAGTGAAATATTATTGCAGCAGCTACAAGCACTATTAATAATATTTTTGTTTACTTTTCCATTAGCATCTAATTTATAGATATATGTGTACATCTACACTGGTGTGCAAAAATTAAGGACGAAGTCGAAAAATTAGCATATCAGCTGAACGAAGAGGCAGAGCGGACAGAAAGACCAATCAGGAGATTAAGTAAAGTGATGTACGGTAGCACATGCGCAGATATGCAGGTAGACGTAATGGGGGAGTGTCTAAGTAGTATAAAGCATGTTGTCGGTGTAAGATCAGTATTTCTGGCAAAGAGATTGCACGCCGTATAGCAGTTTAAAATCACACCGAGTTGCTGCCTCAGCGAGAAATGGCGAATAATCAATCTGTTAGACGACATCTGGATGCTTTTACCCGAGGTCGAATCATTGGGAAGTTGGAGAGGCCGCAGTGTGACAAGTGTGGCTGCAGAGTTCGGAATTGCTCACAGCATCGTTTCACGACTTTGGAGACAATTTCAAACTACAGGAACAGCTATCCGGGGTTTAGTAGTGGTCGTCCACGAGGAACCACACCCGCAGATGACCGGTATATTGCCTTACAGGCCAGAAGAAGAAACAGGCGGCAGACAGCGGGAGAAATCGCTAGACACACGACGGCGACTGGACGACCGATATCGCGTTTTACCGTGGCCAGAAGACTGCACGGGTGGTGGTCTGTTTGCACGACGCCCTGTACGGTGTGTACCTCTAACGCCTGCCCATCGGAGAAGGCGTTCTCTGTGGTGCCGGGAACACCGGAATTGGAGAGACAATGAATGGGACGAGTACTCTTTACAGATGAGAGCAGATTCAGTCTGAGTAGCGATTCTCATCGCATACTCATCTGGAGAGAGCGGGGAAGCCGCAATCATCCCTCGAACATCATTGAAAGGGACAGGTATGGAGGTGGCGGTGTTCTCGTTTGGGGAGGCATCATGCTTGGTAGTCGTACAGACCTTCACATCTTCGACGCAGGTTCAGTCAACGGGACCCGTTATTGTAAAGAGATTCTTCTTCCATATGTGCGTCTTTTTAGAGGCGCTTATGGGTCCGCAAGTTCCTTTTTATGGACGACAATGCACCATGTCATCGCACAGTAGCTGCCGAACAGCTCTTAGAGAGTGAGGATATTGAACGTATGGATTGGCCGGCACGATCTCCGGATCTCAATCCCATCGAGCATGTATGGGATTTTCTAGGCAGACGCTTGGCAGCTCGTACCTTACCACCAGTAACGATTCCGGAGCTTCGATTGGCGCTGCAAGACGAATGGGCAGCAAAAATGCCTCAACAACTCATTGACACCCTCATTCTCAGCATGGGCAGACGCCTGTGAAACCTGCCTAGCAGTCAGGGGAGATCATATCCCCTATTAAAGACCGGATGTTTCTTGCTGGACACCCATCACAGGGATGTTTCGGCCTTCAGTCGCATTGCGCTCCATGCTACTTTTTTCAATAAAGCTTCTTTTTATCCCTCTGATTTTTCTTTTAGTAAGTGTTGCTTACATTACTCATGTCCTTACGTATTGGGGATCTTATGGTATTAAATGTGTTGATTTGGAAAGCTTTTGTACAAAGTTATATTGTAAAAACCGTCTTGTCCTTAATTTTTGCACACCAGTGTATATAAAACTCAGAACAGTGATCTGGATCTTGAAGATCTCAAACTGGCAACTCGTGGACTGTATGCGCCCCTCCCCAAGCACTTTTATGCAGCTCGTAAAGAAATTTCAATTATATATTTGTTGCAAATATGGTGATGTTAGATTTAAATATTTTAATTTTTTGAAGTTCAAGTTTACATCATTTCAATTTCTAATAAAAAAGAACATGAATAATGCACCAGAAAAATCTACACATGGAGTTAAGTTAAAACTTCATATAAATTATATTCAAAGATTTGAAGACACAGATTTTATTAACTTTTATTCATACTTATCAAAATATAAAAAGCAGTTTTGAATATGTGAACTAAGGATGAATAATCTCTTTGTTTGGGAATACATTTATATGCGAACAGCTTTTTTTTAACAGCTAGAACTTAACAAAAAAGAACATGATTGACTGATCAGCATCTACAATTTATGAAGAAGATAATAGCCAGCAGTTTCTGTCTATGGCTTTATGCAGGGCCCAAAACCATATTAGATAGGAAGTGTTGTCTAGTGTCAGTAGAAGTAGAAAAGTTTATAATTTTTTTTCGCACAAACATAAATATTTTGATTTATGCACGGATGAATTTAATATATAAGAGAAAGAAACTAGGTTGCTATTATTTATTCTCAAATTTTGTTTCACACTCTAAATTTTTTCCTTTATAATTAAAAAAAAAAAAAAAAGTTGAAATCAAAGTAAGTAATCTAATGCTTAATTAAACATGTTAATATTATTTGAAAGAAAATTCAGTCTAAGAATTTCATACTTAGCTGCCAATAAATATGAATTACAAAGTGTAATTAACAAATATATCTTACAGGTAGATTTCAGATTAAAATAAATATAAATTTTTATTTTTATCCTTTCCAATATTGTTTATGTACGTTTTGATAAATATTTAGCAAGTGAAATTTAAAATTTATTTCAAATATTTATCATTTTGTTTAAAAAAAAAGCCAAGAAGGAAAAAAAAAGGGGGGGGTTCTGCTCATGAGCTGCTTTTAGATCGTGAATTCGACTGACATGCAGTTTGAATTTGAGACTACTGCCTTAAACAATAAAAATACTCTCAATATATTTTTTAATTTAAAGCTGTTTGCTTATTTATCCATAGCTCAATGTAACAAACGGTATTGCTCAAATAAGATACCGATGGCCGCAATTACAATGTCTGTGTATATAATAAGTCATAAATATTAATTTAAAACAAATTTCTAACAAAAGATGCTCATATTACATGTAATGATTGGTTTAAAATATTTGAAAAAGGTCAACCTCCCCCAATTTTTTTTCGAAAATTATTACAGTTTACATCATATGCAGCACAAGATATATTTCACAAGTTTAAAAAATAGAATGAGAATATAAAACAATTACATACTGGATCTTCCAAATTTAATTTCTTGAACAAGAGTTAAATTTCTAAAGGTTTAGCATTAACTTTTTTAGACTCGTCTATCTGTAAACGCAATGCATTGATTTTATTTTAAATATAATTTCTCCGAGTGGCAATGAGAGAGTATTTTGATGGAAGCCGATTTGTATTTTTTGTATAGTAATTTTATATTTTTAGTTATATTGTCTCGGTGATATGTAAGTAATGCACGAATAAAGATTTATTAGCATAAGTAAAGAATATTTCTTAAAGAGAGTAAATAAGCTAACAATTCAGAAGTGGGATTAACAAGAATTATTACCCAGGATTTAACAACATATTGCCTTAATGTACGTTAAACCTAAACTGAATGCGGAAGCACGCCAAAACTGAAGGAAGAAAGGTATGTGCATTTACAAACTGTTTATAATATTACATCTAAGTATTAAAAGAAAAGAACTTAAGTATAATTATTGCATTGAAAATTGAAGATAGTTTATTTGAGAAGGGGCAAGAAATGTGACTTAAAAGAACTTGCCTTGAAACTTGATGTAGATGTCCCTTCCGATATTAAAATTGTACGCATAAGGGATTTGAATAGTAAGAATGAAGAATTTACTAAACAAATGCTAGATAGAATTATAAATGATCGTTTAGACAGGGAAAAGTTAGAAATTTTAGAAAAAGATAAGCAAAGAACATTTGAACTTGAAAATAGAAGCTGAAATCAAAAGTAGTAATGTAAATGATTTTGTTCCTTCTAATGTTAGTAAAAGTAATTTTTGTGATATAAGTAAATTAATGCATAAGTATGATTTGAATGAAGGTGATATAAGTTTTTATTTAGTCTTATTTGAGAGACAGGCATGACAAATTGAGTTAGAAGAACAAAATTGAGTTTCTCAGCTGTTGGATCAATTGCCTTATGAAATAACTCAATTAATTGCCATGAATCAGAAGAAAAAGCTACCGACTATAAGCCCATTAAACAACTGCTATTGAGAAAATTCAAGTTAAGCTTTGAACAGTTTCGGCAAAAGTTCGTTGATGATATTAAAATGTTGCATAATACGTGGAGGAACTTCACATTTGAAATAAAAAATTATTTTGAAGAATGGCTAGCTGGATTAACCCCTTCGCGCCGACTGTCACGTATACGTGCCAGCAACGAACACACTTATCTACCGGCCGACACGCAGGCGTGCCAGAGCATTGTTGCGTTTACTACCGACTGTCACGTATTTGTGCCAGTACCTTGGAACTTCTAATTTTTATTTTATTAGCAAAATTATCTTTATGGAATTAAGAGTCGATTATTAATTCAGCAAGTTTTTTGGCTTATTAATTTAATAAAATAAGGTTAGGCATAGCAGGATTATTTATTCAGTGTCATTAAGCTTCCTTCATATTATGAGACTAATTTAAATGATTTATCACAATTCCATACTGTTTACATTAATACACTTATTTTCTATATGAACAGCTAGTATTAAAAAATCAAAATAAATGGCATTAAAAGCAATCAATTTTGTTGCTATATTAATCGTAATAACCAGTTTTAAAAGTTCAATACATGTACACTTTTAAAAAACTTTTATGAGAATAATCTTAAATTAAAATGTTAGACTGATTTATAATTTATATAATACAGGGACATATGTCACCAAATATAAATAAAAAAAATAAATAAGTTTCAAATTTAGAAATATGATAGATACCAAAGATACTACTGATTGTGTCTCGAAGGGAATAGGCAGATATCAAGCTATGAATTTTTAGAAAAGTAGCAAGTGTTTTTAAAATTAGGAAACAAAGCTAATATGTATTGTTTTATTTAATTTTTGTTTTAATATAAAAGCTCTTTCTCATACTCTAAAATATTTCTTATTTAAAGAAATTTAAAAAGATACACATAGAGTTTATTTATTTACCACTTTTGTTAGTGCTTACTGGCTACTTATCTTAGTAATTAACTCATATTTTATTAATATAACATATCGCTACGAAATGTACAGGCACGGTAAGATGACTTCCCCGCAAAGCAGTTTTAGGGTTGCCATAAAATAGCAAGGATGGCAGGGTTGCCACATTTGGCGACAAAATTGATGATATACCATGGACGGATGGAGAACCTTCTGGAACAAATTCTTATCAGTTTAGCCCAGAATGGTCTCGAACACAAGCCAAAAGCTATATAAACCCTGTTGGTCCACAGTGCGAGTTGGTGTCTCGTCTAGCGAGTCAACCCCTGTGGAGTCGATCGAGTTGACAGTAGGGAAGTCTCTTTCTTAGTGTATCACGGTTAGTGCATCGTCACGAGAGTGTGTTAAGCTCCGGAAACGATTGAACCGAAGAGTCAGGAGCTGTGATCTGTGTGTGGTTGAGTGCATCGCGAGTTGTAGAGTGGAGAGTATCGAGAGTATGTGGAGTTCCGAGAACGACCGAGCAGAGTCGGGAGCTGTACTCTGGTGCTTTGCAATGAAGCTGTCTCCACCGTGATAGCCTGATAACCGAAGGTTGTGTCGCTGATTGTTCCAGCGAGCACATAGTAAATCTTCAGTGACTGTAAAAAGTGACTTTGGAGCTGTCCTGAATAATATTGGCTAAATAAAGTGTGTTTCGATATTCCATCAAGTGCTGTCGTTGTTATTCACTTGAAATCCACATGAAACCCATACAAACGTGAAGAAAGAAGAAAAAATGGTAACAGCTGGTGTCAGAAAATAACGTAATAATATTATTAATTTGCATATCATCCTTCAACTTTAGTATTTTCAAAGATTTCAAAAGCCTTGAATAGGATAAATTCATAATCATCATCACTGATTGTCAGCTTCTCAAGACCATCAATTCCACAAAAGATCTAATCTATGGTTGTGCCTCTAAGAAAGTATTAACTGTACTTCTTAAAATTGTTAAAAATATTATTTAACAAAGGAAAAAATTCGATGTCATATTTTTTTTAAATGCACATAGTACTTCTCTAAAATAAGTAACTCACAATGAATTGTTTAGCATGTTTCTTCTACACCCATTAATATTTCCGCAAATTTTATACATTTAAAACAAAAATTATTGACTGAATATTCTGATTGCACTACTTGAGATAATTAAAAATCAATACACTCTTAATTTAAAACACAGATATGAGACCTGATAATTATTATTTTTTAGTCCATTTGCCCAGAAGGACTATTAATTTCGTTTTGGTATTTTGCGTTAATTCACTACAAGAATTTTTTCACTTTTCAAACTGTTGCCACCAAATATTGTCGCCCTATATTATATTTAAAGAAATTAAATAATGAAGAATCTGCATAAAAGTATGTATGTTTTTCGCACTGTGATAAAACAATGGTACCTACAGCCATCAAATTTTGAATAACTTAATTCTGCGAATATGGGCATATGGAAGCACAAATTTGAAATTTGGAACTTGTTTTATTACCGATTTCGTATTTTGTAAAGCTTTAATGAATTTTTGATTTACAAACTCAAGGATTTCAAAGCGAACAATGGCAACATTGTACAGAAAAAACATATTTATCTCCAGTGCACGAGACTGTGTATCGGAAATTCTAAATATACGTTCATTTTAGAATTAATTGCCGATATTGCTCTTGAACTGAATTTTATGGTTTATGAAGAACATGATATTTAATAAATAAAGGTAACACACAAAATATTACAAAAAATGCCACTTTAGACATAAATTAAAATCTGAAACCTTTCAGATTTTTTTCTTTTTTTAAAAAATTGTATTGTGTTACATTCAGACTGATTTCCAACCAATTATAATATAGCATGAAATATTACTGAACATAACTTAAAAAAATAAAAACCATAACTGGAACAATAATTTTGACAAACAGAATTCCCCCCCCCAATAAAAACTTACCAAAGGGGTCAAGATAGACACTCAGAACATCCCCCATGACAGTACTCATATTCAATTTGTCAACACACATTTTAGCAGCATGTATTGTCGTAAAAGTCACATGAGCCAGGCGGAGATGTTTTCTTGTTTTTGGATGGTAATATATCTGAGAATGCTCAATTTCCCCATACTTCTTTAAAATATCATCAAGGAACTGTTTGTTAATATTGTCATTCAAATTTTTAATCGTGACTTGTACTGGCGGTGGCGTGCCAACATAGTTGTCATCAATCTAAAAAAAAAAAAGTGTTAAAATGCTACTTTAGTACAACATTTTATAATGAAAGTTTTTTTTTAAAGAGCAATTCATATGAGCACTGAAATCTTTATATACATCATATGAAGTAATCACACTGTTTTTCAACTCAGAATCTGCAACTCAGTATCAAAATACTAGAGCCACTGATCATCATTTCTATGAATCTGTAAAGATCAGACAATCTATAAATATATGCTCTTCTTTTAAAACTACACGTGGCCCTTGAAATACACCGATTACTATTTCTTCTTTTTCAAAGAGTTTTAGCAATTTTGAAAAAGGAGGGTAGAATACATATAAAATACAAATGTTAAAAAATAAATAAACATAAACAAAAATAATAATAAAGATTATGCTGATACTAATTTAATTTTAACCTTCACTACATAAACACTATTTTATTATACAAAGTTAAAATCTGCATGTGAAAACTTGTAGCCATCCTATGTTGCTATCGGCAATGGGAGGAATGCAAACAAACCCAAAAGCAAATCATGACTGGTAACTTTTTTTTACAGTAGTAAAAAACCAGCTGGAAGAAATATGTTTTCCACTGATGTTGGAAACGTGGAAAAAACGATAGAAACTAATCTTTTAACATATTTACATTATTAGTTATATTTTATTCAGAAGTAACATTGTTATCTTATTAATGAAATTTTCATCTGCTATATAATTTAACTAGTTTAGTTTGTATGCAAGTATTCTTGTGTATTTGTTATGAGATTCGTTTTCATGTCAATACATTTGAACGGCTTTTGAATTTCATTTCATACCGATAACACAAACTGCAAAATAACATACAGTCAAAAGTCGTTAATTCGGACACCCATAATTCGGAATGATCTATAATCCGGACATCAAAACTAAAAACTTTCTGCGCATGCGCCGCGTTGACACATGCGCAGAGGCGTTCACGCGTGCGCGTAAGACCTTTTACGACTGCGCATATGAGTGTGCGCAAGTGCAGAATACGTTTTCGCGTGCGCATTTTATGTATAATGGACGTATAAGCTAAATAATTATCTATTTCAGTTAATGTTGATGATTGCGTGTTCCTTAATTTTCGAATTGCATCCGGCTTATTATTTTTTGCAGACTGTAAGAGGAATTTTATAAAAGTAAGCTTAAACTTTCGATTATATCAAATAGAATTTCCGATATATATTGTTAATATGTAAAGGATCTAAAGCGAAAGTATGTTTTGAAATCCGAAATCTGTGTTATCAATTTCACGCTGCTCGGCGGCGGGCGCGTAATGAATTGGAAGTTGATTTGTCAGCACTATCCTTATCTTCAGCGCAGATGTTTTTTTATTTTTATTTGAAGATCAGATTTTTATTTTATTTGGCTTATAATTCCTTACCAAATGTAGTATTTCATCTCGATATGCTCGTCTTTGATATGATTTAAAAACAAGTTCCTCGTCATTATAATTCGCTTCCGATAGCGAAGAAAAGTGACAGAGGTTATTGAAAACAAAAAAAAATTTCGATTGACAAATTAGTCGGTGTTCTTGACACAGCAATTATAGGACTTGAACGGCGGAAAAAGGAACTTTGTAACTGAACAAGAAATTATGTCTGTTTAATAGAATTAAAGAGAAAGTATTATCACATGAAACAAAGCAAAACTTAAAACAACTTACACTGAAAGAAATGTTAAATAAGGTAAACAAATAAATATTAAGCTTTTTCTTTTTGCAAATTTTGATACCCTTTAGATCATAATTGTTCTTTATTTCATAAATTACGGTTTCATATTTTTAATTTTAGAATATCTGCATGCCATCTTACGAGATTTAAACTGATGATCTATAATCCGGAAAAATCGATAATCCGGAATCGCCGAAGTCCCGACGAGTCCGGATTAACGACTTTTGACTGTATTTATTTATGAAAAACAGATATCTGAATTGAATAGGGAGAAAAACTTTACATCTTCATAAAAACCATGTAACAAAATGGCATATTTGTTTTCCAATGGCATACAATTACCTATTTTGTAATTCTGAATGAAGGAATTCAAAAGAGGAGAAAAATGCATTCTCATGCTACTGAACTTCAGTGTCAACTACAATTACAAAGTTAATGAAAATTTTCAGAAGCAACACATTTCTTTGTCAAACAAGATTTAAAATATTGAAAATGGCATCCTGTAGTAGGATTCTGGAATTGGTCTTTTTGAATAAGACTGGCATATTTCTTCCATGGTTGAGAAAATCGGCTGGAAGAAGAGGGTCTTTTTATTTATTCCATATTAATATTAATCTATCATATATATTTCACTCATTTACAACACTACCTTAATAACCAGACAATTTAAATATTTTCATTATATGGTCCTAGAGGAGGAGCTATACAATATATTATATAAACTGGGCTACAATATATTATATAAACTGGGCATTTTTAATACACTGAAATATTCCTAAAAACTAATATTTAAACATACATTTTTTTAAAAATATTGATTTATAAAATCGTACATTGTTATTAATATTTTCATTTGGACAACATGACAGAAAGAAGAAAAATTCAATGAAATAACATATCAATAAAAGAATGAAAATCCTAACAAAATGTTTACTAAATTTTTGGAGAAAATTAATTACATTTAAAGTTTTTTTATATGTCAGATACTGCTTCTTTCATGGTTTGCCCAATGAACATATCTAGGACTTTGTGCATAGGCAACTCACTCATGATACTTATCCTGCAGTGAACATGGAATGAGTTTGGGTTAAAATAAAATAAATATGGAATGTTATTCTCCACACAGATATTCAAAACCTGTTTGATTCAATGCGATGATGATTCGTCAAATATCGATTTTACGTTATTAATATTCTATAATAATTTTGAACTGCTCTGTAAGTTTACTCGTTTCATTGTATCATACAAGTTGTCTGTGGAATAAATTTCATTCAATTTCAATAATTATAATGCGGTGCTACAAATTTCATATATATACAATTGAATAATAAATGTTTGAATAAAATTTTCTTTTTGAGTTGACTTTTAATTTAATTCAACAATAAAGATTTTGTTTTACTAGCTGGTTACAGTAGATATTACTGTTATATATTTATTGACAAAATTCCATTCAAAATGCTAATCCAAAGCTGAGCAAAATATAATTTTTCTTTTATTTCATAATGCAATAATCCTAAAAACACCATACAGACTAATGGATATAGAAACAAGGTCCCCTAAATGCATAGCACATGAAAAAGTTTTTTTAAATTCATAATTAACCGCTACACTATGTAGTTCAATATTAAACATACATTTTTTAAACAATAAAACATTGCTACAAACACTATAATTTTACACCCTTAATATGTTTTACCTTAAATCTTGGCAGAATGAGATCTGCTGGTTCATTTTTAGCCCATAAAGTTGACAAACGAGAGCGGGGATCTCTGACATGAACAGGAGGATAATACTTTTCAAGCTATTTAAAAAAAAAAAAAAAAAAACTTTTAAATGGCTAATTAAAACAAGTTTTAATAAGAAAGAAAAAGTGGAAGGACATACATTTTAAAATTTAATAAAATAATAAAGCACAATATTAATTTAACAGCTTCAATAATTCCAAATTATGCATTTTCTATTACAGCACTCTTGAATGCTACATAAAATACATATCACAATAATGATCTTAAAGTTAAAACTACAATATCTCATTTGAAATGTAATATTAATTTCGCTAAATGAATCACACACTTGCAAGAATGCAAGAACACTTGGGGAGAGAATTTAATAAATTTTTCAGATACAAAAGTTAAAAACTTTATAACTATTTAGAAATATATAAAATATTAAAAACAAGCACAAACGCATATACACACATAAAAGTCTGCAAAATGTAAGCAACGTTTTTAACATGCAAGGGGCGGCGGCTGAAAGAGCTTTTTGCAACCAGAACAACGAAATTAATAGAAAGGGGACACATGTGCAAATATCAGCACCATGATACCAGAGGGAACTTCGGGTCACGCAGAATACAAGGAATCCGTGTGGGCAGGGCAAGACAACTTAAAAAAGAAAAGAAAGCACATTCCAGGCACTCTTCTGCAAGTGGAAGTGAGATTCTAGGCATTCTTCTGTAAGTGCAAGTGAAAGCTAGTTGCCCAAAAGTTTAGAATTGATACAAGTGTTGTTTCACGAGCTTCAAAAACCTTCTAAATGAAAGCTACAGCTATAAGAAATATTAATAGTGGCAACTTTAAAAAAAAAAAAAAACTATTGATTGATGACTGATATATCAACTGCAGACACAAAGAGATTGAAACCAGACAGTGTGCAACATTACCTAGCAGTTGATGACAGGTGACCTGCTTTACTGTGGTCAGACTTCACAAAGATAGCCTATTTGTCACCTGCCCTGAATGCTAAATACCCATTGCCAGCACCATTTACAGTTGTGTAAAGAACACGACACTACACTTTATGATGGAGTCAAGTCCTCTTTATCAGCGAGAGTCGTGTTTCAGTCTGACAAACGATTCTCTATGCCAGTTGATACGCAGGAAGGTAAGGATATATTATCATCCTACTAACACCATGGAAAGAGACCAATGGAGTGGTCCTGGCATGCCTGTTTGGAGTCGCATTATGAAGAACAGACAGAAAGAGCTCCCAATTTTCAACAGAGGTTCACTTACCATACATCGTTAATATGATGAAGTTATTCCCCCTTCTTTCAAGAGGAATTTTTTGGGTTGCCATTGGTCTCGACTTTATTTTTATGGATTACAATGCATGGCTACACCAGACTCATGCTGATGATTAGCTTCGAGAAAGTGAAGATAGCCATAGAATGGACTGGCCAGCATGCTCCTCAGATTTAAAACCCGTTGAACAGGTGTGGGATAATTTAGAGAGACACCTAGCGACACGATCTTACACTC